ACAAAACTGTGTTTTCCTGTGCATGTATGTTTGCACCGATTCACTTCAGTATTTTGCAACTTTTTTTTTTTTGATAATCAACAAGAATTGTAAAAGTATAGCTGAGTGGAAAATGATTTATTAGTATGAGATTATGACTGCTTTTGGAAGCATAATGTTGAGAGTCATTTAAGTTGATGAATAGAAATCATGAATGCATTACCTGATTTTCTTCATGTCAACAGTTGTGTGTTTGGAGCACAGATGGATGGGAAAAGCAAGCAAGTAAATTCTTACAAATGCCCAGTGGACGACCGCCAGCACCTCTTGCAGATACTCGGGTCCAATTTCATCTAGACCAGACACATTTACTGGCTGTTCATGAAACTCAAATAGCCTTATACGAGGCACCAAAGTTGGAATGTATTAAGCAGGTGTGCAAGTCATATAATATTACATATATGCATAAATCTGAATTCTTGCATTTATTTGCTTTTGTTTGGTGCAGTGCATTGTATGTAATTTAATTTAATTGCTAGCTCCATTTGGCTTCTTCATTTCAATGTGATCTCTAGCTCATGCCTGCAAGCTTAATATTGTAGTGCTTCTTGTTTTTGTATGATCAGTTTTCGCCTCGGGAAGCCAATCCAATCACACATGCTACATACTCATGTGATAGTCAGTCAATATATGTAAGCTTTGAAGATGGAAGTGTTGGCGTTCTTACTGTTCCAGCGCTCAGATTAAGATGTAGAATAAATCAAACTGCTTATCTCCATCCCAACCCAAGGTCCGTTTTATTCTCAGCTGTGTTATTAAATTTTTCTTTTCTCATATCTGACTAAATTGTTCTTGACAGCTTGAGAGTGTATCCTCTTGTGATTGCTGCACATCCCTCCGAACCCAATCAATTTGCATTAGGACTTACCGATGGTGGAGTACATGTACTTGAACCATTAGAGTCAGAAGGAAAATGGGGCACTACACCTCCAAACGAGAACGGTGCTGGGCCTAGCACAACTTCAGGTGCCGCTGTTACAGAACAACAACCCCAAAGATGATGATGGCACATTATGTAGTACTTTCCTCTAAGGACCTTTGAGTGTGTGTTTGATTGCTGCATATGATCCCGCTCCCTGGTGCCTCCATTCGGTTTGCAAAGGGAAGCTGCGGAACTTAGGTGTTTGTAGGTTAGGACAAATCAATTGAATGAACCAATCACCTTGTCAGTGGCTTCCTAACCAATTTATGCAGAGTATGTTACTCGTACAGAAGGATTATTGGGCGTTGCAGAGTGGAGGAGGGTCATTGTTATTATTATTTGTTTTCTTTGGTCCTACCTTGATTTGTGTAGTATTTTTTTTAATATATATAGTGCTAGTCGTTATAGTTTTTCTTTTTCCGGCTAAAGTTAGATATTCTGATATTCAATTATGCAAGAATTCTTTTAGAGCATATTTTCGAGTTGGTTGAATGTTTCAGACCTAAGTTAATGGATTTTCTTAGATATGCTTTTGGTTCCATTATTAGATTTCGCAATAACAAGGAACAGAATTAACTCTGATTATTAATTATTGTTGACTTCGTTGAATTTAGTTTTACAATCATGTTCAGAGCATTTATTAATGGATTGCCTTTGGTTTATTTACATTTCGCAATAACAATTATCAGAATTAACTCTTGAATATTAATTATAGATGGCTCTGACTTTATTGAAGATTGGTTTTACGCCTCTGGGATCAGGGCCATGTAAGGTTTTGCGAAAAAAAGAAGGTTCTACTATCTCTCTTGTTTTCATTGTCACCAACTAGCCCGAAACTACATCTTTCCGAGGTACTCTTCGCGGCTCTTTTCTAAGTTACACATCATCTTCACCTTTTATATATAAAAATATTCGTTTTTAGTTTTCCAATTTTAAAACGTCAACATTTTGTTCTTTTTTAAGATGTATCAAATTTTTTTGCCAGTACTATTTGATTCTTTAAATTAGTATATGTATGAAATGTTTAGTGATTGAAACTCGCTTATAAATTAGATTAACAGAGCTTGTATCTTTAGTTTTAACAAATTGATTTTTTCTTTAGTCTTAATTATAAGTATTAATAATTAATTTTTAAAACTACTAAAAAGTTGAATTTTTTATATATCCTTTATTTATTGTTAACTTTATAGTTTTCACTTATACCTAACATTAAATGTGACAATCATTTAAAGTATATTTAGACTAGAACTTGAATTTATCATAGAATTAATTAATAATTAATAATTTTTTTTTTATATAATTAAAAAATATTTTAAAATAAGAGTTAAAAATAAATATTTGCATATTTATGGAGACGGAAAAGATGGTCTAACACTATTTTGTAAGAAACAATCAGATAGAATGTGGGAGTTTCTGTGCTCCAGTCTCCGTTCTCTTTGGTATAGTCTCTGACAGTGCTCTTCTGCTCATTCTCTGATCCTTTTTGCAAATTATTTAAAGTCCAATCGATCATCGCCCAAGAAGTTTGTAGTTTTACTCCATAGTATGTTTCTTCCATGTTTCTATTGATTTTGTTGAAATAAAATGGATTCAAAGTACTGAATATGAGGGTAGGGTAAATTTACAATACATAATAACACAAATAGTACAATATTTACTAAATCAACACATTTTACTGTATTTTTAAGAATGCTCTTTTTCCAACCCATTCTTCAAAGGAGATTTTGTTTTTTTATAACACATGCTGCTGGAAAATCGGGACTGGCCATCCTAATTTCTCACAGCAACTTTTTCTTCTTCTTTTTAATTTTATTTTATTTTTATTTTTGGTTTCTTTAATTTCAGTTTTAAATTTACATTTTTAAAGATAAATTTAGTTAAGTCAATTTGTAAAAGATAATTAAATAATTAGTGAATAAAACTATTAATATATAATTATTTTTTTTTATTTTGTAGAATTAAAGGATTATATTTTAGAAAAATAATGATTTATAAATTTAAAAAAAAAATTCGAAATTAATTTAACTTAAGTATATATTGTATAACTTATACTATTGTTGTACATATTTATTTTTTTTTATAAAAAAAATATAAAAAGTTATAAATTTAAATAGAGGCTTAGGTGTCTTGAAATTAATTTCATCATCAATTAAGTATTCATCTTGCTTTTCTCTTCAAGCACTTAAGGGTATAAATGTAACTCTTCATTTCTCTTGAGAAAATATCTTGTCATAGACTTGAAAAACAATTTTATCTTTATTATTTATTTTGAATTCAAAATTATGGATAATTATAAAATTATTTTATACGTTGATTTGAATTAATGAAATGAAGTATCAAATAGTTTTTAAATTTTTAAAAAATTTACAGATTTAATCTATATATTAAAAACTTTAAATTCAACGATTGGATCGTTGAAATTTGATGTAGAATATGAGTTATTGAACAAAGTAAGTTTCGGTAGACTTCCTCCTAAAGAGTAAACAGATCTCTCTTCTTCCTCTCTCTCTCTATATATATATATATATATATATTGGGTTGTAACATAGACATGGAAAAGTATTTTAAGGTGAGATATAGGAAGAAATAGATACATAAAAGACTAGAATTCAATTAGATAACCATATAGAAATGAAGATCACCCTTTTACAATATAAATGAAGTGGTTGAAATTACACCAAATAAGATGTGAAGACAAGCTTCATGAAAGAGATACATTGATGTTGTGGTTTTGATGGTTTTCCAATGGCTCACTTGATGAAAGTTGTAACTTGCTTGTGCTTGTATGCTTCTTTGATGTGTTTAGCTCTTGGGCTCTCTAGATGCTCGAAGGATTTCTCAAAGAGCTCAATTAAGACTCGAGAAACTAATAAATGATAAGATATTTTTGAAAGTTTAAAACGGAACCAAGAGCATGCGTGAATAAAAGTAATTTTATTTGTGAAATAATGGATTAAATTGATTATGTTTTTGAAAACAATCATCAGGATCAAAATAATCAGTTATTCACTTTGGATAATTATTTGTTTTGCTATTTTTTTAAAGAAAATTTCCTCTTACTCTTCTAATCAATTAAAACATATCTTCTGTAATAATCAATTATTATATGATAAAATAATCGATTATTGCTCCTATTTCGAGAGTGACTCCAAAAAATACCTTTTAAGAGATGTGTGAACTTAAAAGTGTAACATAAAACTGTTTTCAAATCTTTACAAATTTTTCATCAAATTGAAATCTATTTCTGGGGAAATTGATCAATAGGACTCATCAACTAAGTTTTTCAACTGTAAAAAATGCATATAGATAAGGTGATATCTTTTTCTTTATTTCACTTGTTTGTCCTAATTGAGATTCCACTTCCTGAAGATTATTTGTAGAAGGTTTTTACATGTGATCAAGGTGTTCTTGATGGTTTTTCAAGAAACTTTGTGTTTATTGAGTGTCTATTGCAGTTGTGTTTTTGTAAAAATACCAAATATTTTTTAGTGAACAATCTTAAGCAAGTTAATTAAAGACTCTACATAATTTATAATGGAGTGATTGAATCGGGTTAGATTGACTTGGGTACATGTATCGAAATAAAATTATACTAAAACATTTATGATCTTGTGAAAATAAAATATTTGTTGACATGAGAAATTTGATTGTCAGTTGGTTCATCGTATTTGACCAATTTTGATCGCTTCCGATAGATTGTTAGATTCAGTAAACTTTAATTTCCAGATGAGAATTAACAAATAACATTCACTTGTTGTCACTATTCAGCTTGACACATCTTCACTGAGAATTGAATGGTGACAACAGAAGGGGAATAATTTATTTGCAAAGAACATTTTTTATTTATTACTTCTCTATCCATTATAATTTTCAAAATAGCAAATCTCAAGCTACTAGCCATCACCCCTCGTTGTCTAGTGCATCATCACTTGACCAATCCCCGTCCAATAAAAAACAAACAACTTGCAAAAGATATGTTGGTAATAAACTCATTATCCGTTAAAATTTACTAAGAGTTGCGAAATATTACCCAAGATACATTCAATATGGAATGGAATTCATATCACTTGTTGAATCTTGATAAATTTCTATCAACAATAAAGAATTTACTGAAGAAAAAATTTAAGTGTTGAGAAAGTACGACTGACATTGCAATGGAACTGAATTGTCGCTTGCTAATTTTTACTATAGCAGCCAGGTCAGCTACCACCAAAATCACGAACGCGTTACAGACTAACTGTTTACAAGCATCAACTATACATCTAAAATATGCAGACAGCAATCCAAGGTCATGAGTTGGATATGCCTCCATATGCAGAGCAAACATCAAATGTTTGGGCCCTTAACAAGTATCGGTGTAATAATCAAAAGCAGTGTCCTTCCCTTCTAAAAAGCAAAATATCCATAAGTTCGAACATGTGTTCAGGTTGAGGTAGCAACTAATTCCGCCTTCGACCAGACTTTCTATTTCTCTTACTGTGGCCTGGAGAAGATTGTTCATAGGCAACCGGTAGGACTTTTCCCTCCTTGATTCCATTTGAATCTGACATTTTATCGATTGTCTTTTGCGCTTGTAGAAAAATCTTGATATCTCTAATCTGTTGGGCCATCATTTAACCCCATCAGTCATCACAGAACAATAAATTTGGATAACTTCTCTGTATGAAGAATCATTGAAGATAGTTGCAATACCTGTTCCTCCAAATCAATTATTTTCTCATTCACCAATTTAATTGATGTAGCTTCCCTAAATGATCACATATTTAGACAGGTATCCAGAAGAAGTGTTAGTCTGAAGTGGTGATTTCAGAGGTATCTATAATGTGGTAATTTCTTATTTACTGTCAGTGAATCAAATTTAAACTAGGATGAAAAATATAAAATCATTTATACCTCTCTTCAGCTTCTTTAACCTTCTTACGCCAAACCTCTTGATTTTTTATGAGTTTCTGATTGACCTAAAGATCAGAACGAAAGGCTAAATAGCAGAAGAATTCAAGAAAATAATAAACCGAATGCCAGAGAGAAGTTACCTCAGCAATGGCATTTCTTTCTTCTGTAGACTTTTCAAGTTCATTTTGGATATCCTGCATTTCAGAAGCTGCAGCTTTCTCCACTGCTTCAGACATGGAACTTTCCAATTTACTTTTTGTCTCTACTAGTAAACATTCATAATACTAAAACAAAAAATTATTAACATAATCAGATTTCAAAAACACATCATCACCATTATTATTGCATCAGAAGATCAACAACATATGGAGAGTATCATAGCAATTGTGACAAAGACTTTCATCATAAGAGAAAGCAATCAGACTCAATGTTCCTAATCCCAACCACACAAATAGTAATTTCATCACCTCCAATGACATTTCTGGAACAAGTAATTTTCAGGCAAAGTTGATGACATTAATACTCTGCAGTTATGTACATCCAATTCTAAGACTCGTTTACAGAATTTTTCATCTCTCAAAGAAAGAATTTTAAGGACAACAGGGTTAACTCACTTGTCTTTGTGTCTCCAACTGAGATGTAAGAAGACGGTTGTATTCATCCACAATCTGTTCTCATGTTTAAAACCTAATTAGTGACCATGCAGGGCAATAAAAAGTTGAAAAAAAAAAAAGTGCAAGATGCCAACTGCAATGGAAACAAAATACATCAAATACCACAAAATAAACAACCAAACAATTGAGACAAGGTCATTAAATGATTTTGTAACTTTCATAAGATTGCTTTTTAAAATTTCATCCCCCTATTCTATTTGAACTAACTATATGTGACTATGTCTACAATACAGTACAGACCACAGATGCCAGAGATGCCAACGTTAGTTGTTTCAGACTAATCTGTCCAAGCAAGTTTTAGCATAGCCATAAATAAAGATTGATGCTATATCCTCCTACTAATCCTCCCAATACTTTTATAAAGAAAGTATTAACTGCAAAAATAAATGCACTTGATGCTCTTAAAAATATAAAAAGTATTCAATACTTTCTTCATCTAGTATGTTGGAGGATTTAGCATTATTTATAAATAAAATACAAGAAAGACATTGAAGAGTTATATGACTTGTGAGAAACATACGGTTTCAACTTTGCTGTTGAAAAGGGCCCCATTAATTCCTAAATCTTCACGACATTCACACATACCACAATCTCCTTCCAGTGACATACAGCGTAAATTCATCTCCTCCAACTTGCCATCAGTTTTAGACTGGTTCTGGTTCAGTCGATGGACATAACTGTCACCCACATAATCCCAAATTTGCTGTGTTTTAAAATCAAGAGAATAGCAATGCTGAGTATCTTTCCAATGCCGAATAGCATGTCCTTCTTTATATCTAGATAAAAAGAAAAATCACTGTATTAAAGTCTTCCCACACAACAAAAGCACAATAGCACATGACATATCAAGGACAATAAATTGTGAATTGTTTAATATATTAATAATGGGCTTTGAGTTTCATACACAAGTTATCAACGGAAATAGAAGAAATGATAATAATATGTTACCTTCCACATCCAACAAATCCACAAATCATACAAACCCAGAGGTCATCTAAAGTTCCACAAATAAAGCAGTTTGGTTTCTCATCCTGTTGCTGACAGAATCGACAAACCTACAATATAAACATCAAAGGCTCTTTTCAATACAATTCTCCATCAATAAGGTAATCCTTTTACTTTGCTTCCTGTTTTCAAAGGTTTGCATAAGAAACTGTTAAAATAATTAAAAGTTATTTTCATTGTTTCATACACAAATTGAAAACCTTTGAAAATAGAAAAAATTGAAAACAAGGTGGTATTCTTAAACTTCAAGGTAAAAACAAAAAACAAAAATAGAAATTATTTTCTCAAAGTAAACAAACCATCCAGATTATCTTTTCTAGTGAGAGACTAGGAAGTGTACTTTAGAGAGAAAAGAGAGAAGTTAGGATTGTTGATTGAATAACCAAGATTGTTATAAAATATGTGCACACATAAAATAAAATAAAGTATAAATTTTAAGTTCTAGTCCCTTAGTTTCCCAATCAAAAGTTTTTAATCTTCTCTTTATTATCTACCATGCAACCCTCACTTTAGAAGAAACAAATTCACAAGTTAAATATCAATGGTGTATCTGTGTTACAAATTACAATTCATATGAAATTACTCTATCTGTAATCATATAAGCAGAGATGTAGCCCCCTGACGCTCTAATTTCCATCCTCATTTTTAAGAAAACCAAAACGAACAACAGATTGAATCTTCTTAAAATTAATAATTATTCCCAGCTTATGTATGCAGGGCTGTAGCAAACACTCTAATCATCTTCCAGCCTCTCAAAATTAATGATTTGAGGGAAGAGAAGGGGGGGGGGGGTTGAAATAGAATGAGTGGCTTTTAATATTCAGAAGGTGCATCAATAAGAGTCTACATTTCATCTTGATACATGAATTTGAGCTGATGAAATCATAACATTTTTGCTATGAAAATTTCCATCCCCTTTACACCATTCATTTGGGACCTAGTGCGAAATCCTGAATTATCATCATGATTCATGATAACTAATAAGATGTCTAAGCAAAAACACAAGATGCTTTTAACTTCCAAAGACAATCCATCAGAAGTATTAGTCACAAAATTCTATCTAATTAAATCCTTAAATGTTGATAAACAACAAGAGCTTATGGCAACCTGTAATTAACCTCAAAATTATATCATAGCTGGCCTATAGAATCCAAAAACAAATTTAGCAACACTAATGACCACGTTTCCCATCCAGTCTCACAACGCTCCAAGAAGAATTGAGGCTAAACTAACATGCGAAGAATTTAGAATCAGCTAAAACAACCAAATCCAGGAGCACAATAAAATGTTGAAACAAGGAACGAAGAACCTAAATACCTGACAAGACAAGTAGGTCCACTTGGAGACACAAGGGCATTGAAACGAGTGGTCACACAGTGTTGCTTGTATCCCACTCGTATCCGGGTCCAACCTCTCTATCATTCATAACCAATAGCTCAGAAGGCCAGGAAGAAACACAGAAAAACAAGAGTCTAAACAAACACAAATGCAACTCACCAAGACAAACTGGACAAGTTGGAATTTCCGTACAATCAGGAGGAGGAGTCCCTGCAACTTCCGCATATTCCGAATACTCCACCGATTGCAGAAATAAAATATGGCAGACCTCCGCCTAAAATTCGATTATGATTGGAAATATAAAGCGAATCGAAAAGCGAAACGGTGTTGAAGAAATGACGCAGATACGAAATTAATATAGACCTCGGCAGGGGAAAACTTCTTGGCGTTGAAGTTGGTGTGAAATTGATCGGCGGCGAACTGGTCAACGAAGTGGAGCAAGACGCTGTAGCGATCTTCGGTGCCGTCGTTCCTGTTAGGGTTAGGGTTAGGGTTGCGTGGAAGGGAAGTAAGAGTGTGGAGTTGAAGGGAACGAACCTGATAAAGAGAAGGTGGTGGAGAGGGTCGAGGTGGGGTCCACAGAAGAGGATGAAGTCGTGGAAGGAGAGGTAGTTGGGGACGGCCAGGACCAAGAGGAGAGAGCTGTGGCTTGAGTGCGACTGCGAAGAGCTTCGGAACAAGTGCAGTGCTCCTCTGCGTTCCCTCAATTTAGCCTTCCATTCAGATTCCAATAGGGTTTCGGGATGGAGAGGGTGGTCCGCGTCCACTGAGTGGACTCGGAGCAAGAACATGGCCATTGCAATCTGTTAATCACCGCCGCTGACTAGGCCCAACCTTTTTTTATCAAAACAAAACCCTTGCTGCACGTGTCCACATTTCACTTTCTTATAACCCAACCTATGTCTGTTAAATCTAATTATGTGACTCTCTCCATAACTTTAAACACTTAATTTTTCTATAAATAATCATTTATCAATTAAAATTTACAATGTTATATAATTTAAAAATAATTAACAATCAAACTAATCCAAGGAAGAATTGCACGCAGATATTTTATAAATGTGGGAGGATCCCAGTGCGAAAAAGATATTGACTATACCTTTCATCCGTTGTGACTTGTGAGTGGATAACAACGTCAGCATGTCCCGTTACGCCGACACCGTCGTGTCATCTTTAAATAAAATTTAATTCGAATACGTAGTGTTTTTTTTTATATTTATTTTATATATATCTACAAACGTAAACATCTTATAAAAATCATAGGAAAATTAAAGTAAAAAAATGTAAATTGATTTGTGTGTTTATTACGCGGTTTCGCAATCTCTGCTTAGTCTTCCTCTCTTCTCTTTCCTTCCATCACTCCACAACTTAAAATATACGCATACGCATGCCGCATTGATCACACTCACACCGGACCTCTTCATTTTTCACCGACCCAAGTCAAAGGATCACCGTCATCCTCTGTCTCCACACACACTCAGGAGTCACAACCGGGTAACCTGAAATTCCGATTAGAAAAAAGTCCATTTTTATTTTTCACAATTCGGCCCCCATTGTGAGCACTGAGCTCCATGGCATCGAGCACGATCCGCAAGGCGATCGGCGTGGTGAAGGACCAAACGAGCATCAGCATAGCGAAAGTGGCCGGAAATTTAGCCCCCGACCTGGAAGTGTTGGTGGTGAAAGCCACGACTCACGAGGAGGTCCCCGCCGACGAAAAATACATCAGAGAAATCCTCTCTCTCACATCGCATTCCCGAGCCTACATCAACGCTTCCTTCGTCGCCATTTCCAAGAGGCTCAACAGAACCCGCGATTGGATCGTCGCCGTCAAAGCCCTCATGCTCGTTCACAGACTCTTAATCGACGGCCACCCCGCCTTCGAGGAGGAAATCGTGTTCGCCACTCGCAGAGGTACGAGGATTCTCAACATGTCCGATTTCAGAGACGAGGCGCATTCTAGTTCCTGGGATCACGCGGGCTTCGTCAGGGTTTACGCCTTGTATCTCGACGAGAAGGTTGAGTTTGTTTCGTACCGGAGGAAGCTCAGGGGGAGTGTTGAATCTGAGGATGGAGAGTTTAGAGAGGATCAGAATAATAATAATAATAAGGTTACCCCTGTGAGGGAAATGGGAGCTGAGAGGGTTTTGGAGAGGTTGAAGCATTTGCTTAGGATGCTTGATCGTGTGTTGGGGTGTAGGCCTAGTGGTGCTGCTAAGAGCAATAGGTTGGTGCTGGTTGCGCTTTACCAGATTGTGAGGGATAGTTTTAAGCTCTATGTGGAGGTGTGTGATGTGTTGGGGGTGCTGTTGGATCGCTTCACGGAGATGGAGTATGTGCATTGTGTTGGTGCCTTTGATTTTTATGTCAGTGCTGCTAAGATGATGGATGAGTTGGTGGGGTTCTACGGTTGGTGCAAGGATGTTGGGATCGCTAGGTCTTCTGAGTACCCTGAAGTGCAGAGGATCACTGATAAGCTTCTGGGGACTCTTGAGAGTTTCTTGAAGGATATGAATGATAGGGCGAAGAGTACTCCTGAGAGGAAGCTGGAGGTGAAGGTAGCTGTGCAAGAGGCAGAGGCGGGAATGAATGAGGTGAAGGCTCTTCCGGCGCCGGAGAGTGTGAGTTTCACAGCTCCGCCGGCTGCGGCCGTGTCGGTTCCGCAGCCTAAGGTGATTAGTTCTCAAGAGGAGACAAGGGATTTGGTGGATTTAAAGGAAGATGGGGTTTCAGTTGATGAGCAAGGGAATAAGCTAGCTTTGGCATTGTTCAATGGGGCTGCAACTGTGAGGACAGAAGGTGCCTGGGAGGCTTTTCCTTCAAATGGGGAATCTGAAGTGAAGTCTGCATGGGAAACACCAGCTGCAGAAGTTGGGAAAGCAGATTGGGAATTGGCATTGGTGGAGACTAGTAGTAACTTGTCTAAGCAGAAAGCTGAGTTGGCAGGGGGGTTTGATCCACTGTTGCTGAATGGGATGTATGATCAAGGGACTGTGAGGCAGCATGTGAGCACAAGTCAGTTGAGTGGTGGCAGTGCTAGTAGTGTGGCACTGCCTGGACCTGGGAACAGTGGGACCCCAGTTCTGGCTTTGCCTGCTCCGGATGGGACGGTTCAAGCTGTAGGGCTTCAGGACCCGTTTGCGGCGTCGCTCTCGGTGCCGCCACCTTCGTACGTGCAAATAGCAGACATGGAGAAGAAGCACCATTTGCTTGTGCAGGAACAGCAGGTGTGGCAGCAGTATGGGAGGGATGGGATGCAAGGCCAAGTGGGGTTGGCCAGGGTTGCTGCTGCTCCTGGTTACTATGCTCCTCAACCTATGATGCCTTATGGAATGCCACAATTTGGGGGTGTTGGACAACCTGGAGGCTATTACCAAGCACCGTATTATTGAGTTGAAGTGAGGGAGGCACTTGTTTTTGTTACAAACTTTGTTTTTCGAGCACTCCGGAATTTGGAAGTCTCTCTCTCTCTTTTTTTTTTTTTTTTTTATGTCTTTGCGTTTGGGTTATATAAATTTTCAAAAACTATTTGAAGAGTCTCATACTTCCCAAGTTATATAAACCGATAGTATAGTATAGTGTATATATATATAATATTTAAGTGCTCAACATTTCTCGTTCCTCACTCCTGCTGCGTAATTTTGACACATCTGGTGGACTTTCGACGACTCAAACCCTCTACTATCAAGTGTTTTCTGTCTTTTCCTTAACGTAGTTTTATATATACCATAATATAATATGCAACATGGTCACTAACTAAATCTTGTCAAAACCCACCACAACTGTGGACAGAGGCTACGCACATGATAAGCCCAGAGAGCACCAGCGGCCCACTTCTACTCCATCCTCCGAATAAATCCAGCGAACTAAGGTAGGGTCGTGTCGTGGGATTAATTGTCTCGAGTATTTGGTTTCTTTTAGCTACGTTTATGTCATGGACTCCTACAGGAGCAGACTTTCAGGGAGAAGCTGTTGTTTCTTCTCTCTAGGTAAGCCCACCACCACCTGCACATTGCGTGGTAATGCTCTGTTGCTTCTTCATTGTAATTATTTTATTTTATTGCTTTTTTGGTGGAACCGAATTGCAGTTTATTATGCTTTAGTTCACACCTGAACCTCAAGGATTGAGGGCCTTGTTACGTCTTATTTCATTATTGCCCATGGACCTAATTTCTGTTACTTTTCTCTCCGGTGGATGAACTTGCAGAGGAAGTAATATAATCTTTTTAAGCCCTTTTGTAGTTGTGTTCGGATTACCACAGTTTATAGCTGTGTTTAGTAAAATAACTTGAAAAAAGAATCTTTAGATTATAATAGCCAACGTTGCTAGCTCTTCTTCTTTGGGATTGATCAAATTGATAAATCTATTAAATTAAAACAATTAAATTATTTTAAGAAATCCACTAAAAGTCGCCTCTTGTTATAGAAAGCAAATACTTAATCCTTTAAAAGAAGTCATTATCTATAACAACTTTTACCAGCAAATTACTGCCAGTAAGAAAACAAACTGAGAGAAGCACGTAAACTCATCCAACACCCACAAAAATCGAGTACTATAATTAATCAACACATTTGATTTAACAGTGTTCTCACGTTGAAAGCAAGTATAGATGCAACCGTTTCAGTGTCCTATCTATTAATAGCATACAAATACAATTTAATAATTTGTCTACAAAATTTTTATATAAGCTACAAGGGGTCAATTACCATGTAATTGCAACTTTAAGAAGTTCACGTAAACCATTTTAACTGCAATCAATAAGAATGTGTTTCATAGGGGGCTGACTCTAGCATCTGCCTATCTCCGAGACTCCACGTCGCTCTATGTCATCCCTTTTGCAATGTTTTCCATTATACACTTTTTTACAACATGGGCAATAAAAAAATCCAATCCTTTGACATTAAAGAATGCAGGCACCAGGGGGTATACTAGAACGGCAATCAGCCTACAACGTGATGGCAAGAATCAATCAATCCAATAGTTCTTCCATGAATGTAAATATGAAAATCGAATTCATTTCATCAATCCCTACACTTAGTCAGAGAATGGCTGCGAATCCATGCATAGGTGCACCAACTTTCTTTGATATTGCCCAAAATATTCTTCAACTGCAATGACGTCTTCATTCTTTGGATCTAAAGCACGCAAGTTTAGTAGCTCATCCTTAACTGATGAACTTGATTCATGGTCAGAAATACATAGGTTAGAAACTATGTCTTCATGGATTTCCCGGCATGCAATTATAAACATTGCAGCTGTGTCAGGTAGCTGAGCCTCACGAAGAGCAGCCAAAGCCTCTTGCAGTGCACCAGCGGCAACATACAAAATCAGAGCCCTGCATTTGGTCATGCAAGATCAAATGGAGAGAATAGTCTTGGAAGTGATAAAATTTAAAGAAAGAAAAGTAGAGATACCTCCAGATATTATGTTCAGTGTGCAAGACATGTCCAGCCCATCTTTGCAACACTCTGCAAGAATAACAAAATGTAGGGAAGATCTTTTAGTCATAAGAATAAAGAGGCAGCAATCAAACTGGAAAGTAAGTTTAAAAATACGTAAAAATCAAATTAGTTCTAGAAAAAATTACATTTGCCTACCATCAATAATCACAAAAGGAAGAATTCAGATGCTTCACAGAATTTGACAAGATAGTTAGAGAAGCATGATCATAAATACTTGCGTGGAATTTATCTATTATTATTTATCTGTAAATGAATGTGATGTTTGACAAATTCACACACGCACGCACGAACACACACAGATATAATTCACTTACTTCAAAAATAAGTTTAGGTAGACTTACTCCATTCAATAACTCATGTTTATTAAATTAAAAGTTCTTAATATATAGATTAAATCTACAAATTTTTAAAAAATTTGAAAACTATTTATTATTTTATTTCATTAATTTAAATTGACAGATAATCATAAAAATATTTCATAAATTGATTTAAATTTATAAAATGAAATATCATATGGTTCTCAATTTTTTAAAAATCTTGTACACTAACATTAAGAACTTTTAATTCAACGATTAAATTATTAAAATTTGATGTAAAACATGAATTATTAAGTAAAGTAAGTGGATCCCTTTTCCCTCCCTCCCTTTGTCTCTCTCCCTATATATATATATGTGTGTGTGTACATAAGGCTATGAGAAGGATAAAAGATCATAAGGAAAATTATGTTTTTAATTCCCCTAAAATCTTTAAAAAACAATTTTAGTCCTCGAAAATCTCTTGAACTATTTTGGTCCTTCTAATTTGAAAATGCACCACTTTTGATCATCAAAGTGGTTTAGATAACGCTTAAAAATGGTTATAAAACGTTATCTTAACCACTTTGAGGACCAAAAGTGGTGCATTTTTAAATTAGAGGACTAAAATAGAACCAAAAAAAATTGGGAGACTACAACTGAACTTGAGAAATTTTAGAGAAACTAAAAACATATTTTACCCGAGATCATAAATTGAAGGATAGTAACACAGATCATAAGATCCTCCCAAAAGACACAAAATTACATATAAAGATATACATGTGATGAAAATGATATAGGTAAGAAAATATCTTGTAATTCATGAACATTGAACAAATAACTAAAACTAAAAATTCATGAAGTTATAACTAATAGGGATCTGTTTGAATAAACTTTTCCATAAACACTTGTAGGAAAAGAAAAAATGAAACTAATTTCTCCAAAACCTAAAATTAGCTTATACATAAGCACTTATAGGACATAGGTCTAAAGCATCTCATATATATTGCAGTTAATTAATATGTACAAAAACATCTGTTATCAAGAAAGAGTAAGAACCTTGCATAATCTGATCCCTTTAAGTGACTAGCAGCTAAGGTTGCAGCATCTGTCCAGCACCCAGCATCTTGTAGCTGCATAAGATATGACATTGCATTTCCCTTAGAAAATCAAGCACATTATATTGATAACCTGTCTAGCTTTTAAATTTGTAAAAGCTACAGAAGTATTCAGAGAATTTTCCAAAAAAAAAAATCCAAAATTTTTCTAATTTTTATCTATATTGTGGAATTCTTCCTGAACTGAACTTGCATTAAAATGTAAGTCAACGAGTAAAGCAGGCAGGCAGGCCACTTTACATTCAGCACACTGAGATATATCAATACGCAGTACAAGGAATCCCTTGTACCTGGTCGAGCTCTAAGTACTCAACGAGGTTTCATTCGTTGAAAATGGTAAGGTAAAATTTATGATAGGAAATGTGTTACTTTCAGTTATGTAGCCCAATTTCTGATGGCATATAATAATAATAATAAAAAGCTCCCCATCATGTCTTTCAAAAATAGTATATAGCATAAAAGCATTAAATATACTTTATTAAATGCTTTAAATTACTTATAAATGTAAGCTTTGGACGACTTTTCTATCTTTCATATGATAAATATTCTTTTCAATAGGAAGATTATGTTTTCTTTATTTTTTATCATGTGTCTATACACTATATGCCCACGATAGAAAACCCCTTAATTAATGTCGTAACCATGCCTAGCAGCTTCTGCCTCTAAGAAGGTTGGCTTCTGCAGATTCCACTGCTTAAAGTGATCAATCTATTCAAAAACCCATAGTTAAAGATATTTTAAACAATATAAGTTGATTTTCAAAAGATAATCGATATTAGCAGAGAATGTAGCTCAGGGCAATCAGTTGCATTCAAATATTAACAATTTAACTGTTTTTGTCTTTAATATTTGACACCAAATTCTGACTGATGTACTGAGCAAGACTAACAGTACACAGAAAAGGAACTACCTTAACCAATAAGATGTTTCACTTCCAGTAAATTAAAAAATCTGCAGCCACTCTTTTCCCATAAGTTTTTTTCTTTGCTTTAATGCTAGATAAAATATGCTAAATCATGAATCCAATAATAACCTAAATGGAGAAAATAAAATTTCCTTGACATAATTTGAACTTGAAAATCACTAAGGTAAGAGACCCTCAAGCAACCAGCCACTTGTTTACACCTATGTAGGATTGATAAACTGGAACCATCTAAGAGACCTTATAAACTGTGTGCATCTGTTTGAATGTATTCCACTATTTTACACAGAAATACTGAATTAAAGAAAGCAGGGAGTATACAAAAATTTATTATAAATGCTGCCTGACCTGAGAACATGCTTCTTGATATCTTCCAACTGCACATAGAAGATGCGTACCAGAGAGTGATCTGTCAGCCCTCACCATGTTGGCTGCAACAACCTAAAAAATATATCTGATGTAATAAAATACTGAATACATGAAACTATGTTATTGTATACTAAATAGAAATCGTATTCTGATGCCTACACAAACACATATCCCAGTCAAACTTACCTTCACTGCAAGTTCATGAAGAGACCTTGAAACAGCAGAAGAGAGAGCAACTGCACGAAGAGCATTGACATAGAAGTACGAGCTCTCTGGAGGTGTAGAAAGCAATAAACTAACTGCAACTTCTAGGTTTCCAACTGACACAAGCCTGGTAGCACCAACAATTAAGTATTACAATTAGATAATAATCCCATGGAAGTAGTAAATAAAAAGAAACTTCAGCAGTTTCTGTCACAACAGCACATTTTCAGTTTGGAACAAGATATCAATTTTTGAAGTGGGAAACCTCAAATTCCAAATAATGCAGCACTAAAAAAGTAAAAAACTGAAGGATTTGGACTACAACTGTAGAGTTTGGCATGCAAATATTAAGCTAAAATACCTTTGACCAGAAGGCAAACTAAGCCATAGCTAATGCTGTCAACAAAACGATAAAAAGAAAAGATAAATTTACTTACTCGTGTATACGTTTCTGAACAGCCTCTTCACCTTCTAAATTTGCATGCCAAGAGATACGCTCACTGGCACTTTTCCACAACTCTTCTTGGTCAAAAGCCATCAACCTTAGTTGACCTTGACTCTGCTAACCAGAAAGCTCTAATCACTTAGAAGAATTTGACATCATTGTTAACAGTTATTCTTTCAACATTTGTAATGTGGGACAGTAAAAGATATATCATGAGATAGAACCTCGAAGGAAACTATAATACATCTTACCAATACATCTTTCCCTTTTTCTTCTGTCGGTTTTCCCCTTGATGATATCCTAGATAGTAGAGATGTCTCATCAACAGCAGAGATAGTTGCAACTGGGGGCCCTTTTCGAGGCTTTTTCAATAACTTGTTCATCAAATGTTTAAGTGCCTGAGGTAGCTGTAGCCAAAACAGAGCTTCCGAGGATTCACCAAATATTGTAGCTGCAAAAGCAAACCTTGCAGCACAACCTTTATCCACAATACTAGCATACAACTTCGCTCTCTCATCGTCAAGAATGCAACCTTAAGAAATGGACATATTGGTAGTGTTTTTAACTCCAAAAGTATAAAATCTCAAACTGAAGAATTTTCATTATCGAAACTCTGCAGAAGATATAGACCTTCTTTTCTATATGGTTCCAATACTTTCAAAAGCATCTCTGGCACCACTGAGTCACCAACTGGTGGTATGTTGATCATGTATGTGCGAAGATCCCCTGTAGATTTAGGAGCTCCTGGAATTAAGTGAGGTCTCTTTTCTATGGTTGTACTACAGGTATTAAACCAAGAAGGTTTAACACCCAATTGTAAAATCATGCGCAACGCCTGTAGGAACATTAGAACATATTCAATGAAGCAATAAAAATAAATAAATTAGAGCTGACGACCAATAAAATCATAATTTACACAAAACTAGTAAACTCATACAAATATTCCTTGAAAGCAAAAAATAAAATATCAATTCATAATTGTAGACACCAAGGCTAAACACGAACTATGGTCACCTTAAATTCAAGAATGAAGCCTAAAACTGACGTGTTAATCATAACAAAGGAAAGGATATTCTACTTAATTTTACTTTTTTTCCAGTAAGAAAACTTGTTTGATATTAAATGATATAACAGATACCCTATTACAATGAAATACAAAATGGTCACCTTAAATTAAAGAATGAAGCCTAAAACTGGCTTGTTAATCATAACAAAGGAAAGGATATTCAATTTAATTTTAACTTTTTTTCCAGTAAGAAAACTTGTTTGATATTAAATGATATGACAGATACCCTATTACAATGAAATACAAAATGGTCACCTTAAATTAAAGAATAAAGCCTAAAACTGACTTGTTAATCATAACAAAGGAAAGGATATTCAATTTAATTTTAATTTTTTTTCCAGTAAGAAAACTTGTTTGATATTAAATGATATAACAGATACCCTATTACAATGAAACTCAAAATGTTTTTAACTATATGAAATGATTCCTGTTTCATTCTTTAAAATTTTCATTTTGCTTCTAACATCCATTATTGCACATGAAATCTGTTGTTAACGATGTGTTTTCTTCTATAAAATGCAGACATTCACTGTGAGAGTTGATTATAGAGCTTTGGTGGTAAATAACAAGAAAATATAAACTTAGCTACTTCAGTAAAATCAGTAAATTTAATGCTGGCATACTACCAGGGCATGTGGTGAAGGAAATAGTATGGGACAACATATGGGCATTGACCGGAATCTCTCCTTTGTATTTCTGATATGGACTCCAGAACCATTTCGTTTTTCATTTCTGCATGAAAAGAAAAGCATGTCATTCACATTGTCAATCCATTTTAAAAAAACTGAAATTGGGCAACTATTATTAGCTATGTGTCATCTAGAAGATGATAAGCAATTGGTGATTCATTCACCTTGAAGAAAATACTAAAACCCTAAAAAGGTTAGAAACCCAATAAATTAAATATCCATTGATGTTGCATTGTATTGAGCCAAAAAAAATAATTCCACATAAACAAATATTTAAACACTGACACTTACACAGCATGTGTACCAGGCTATACATTTAAAAAGGATGGTTAAGATTAGATTTAACTAAAATAATCTTATCCATCCATGTATAGTTATATGACTAAGAGTCTAAGATTAACTCCTCTCACCTCTCATGCTCTTACTAGATATGTCCCCTCCCTCATATAGATAAATAAATAGATACAGAGAACCATTAGAACACCATTAAGACCACCAATCATATGTTGATAATAATACAAAGAAACTCATCTTTTCTGACTTCTGTGAGTGATTTATAGCACTTACACATTAGCTTCAACAAGGCGAAAGCTACTATCTGCTCCAGCAATGCACAGTACCAGTGGATCATTCTTATCAGTTCGCAAGGGCAACCAATCAAGTTCCAATACAAGGGTTCCTGGAAATTGGGGTTGCAAAAGTGAATTGGCTAAGGGGTCTGGCGAGTCCTGCAAAAAACATGTTGAGATTTACAATCAAACAATTAAAAGTGGTGTTCTCAGAATTTTTAGAAAGAGAAAATTTATTTTCAACCTGTTCTTTTTTTGCCCAAATAGTTAAAGAAGATCCATTGAAAAATAGAACTGGCAAACTTATTTGTTAACATAATAATATTCAGGGTTTTAGTCTTCACTCCCCACCCACCCACCCACCCACCCCAGGTGTAAAAACAAATGTTAAATAAGAATTGACCAATATGAAAATGCTTAGCAGTACATATATATTTATGCAAAGTATGATGAAATGAAATCAGAAGAAAAAAAATGTGAATTCACATCTTACCAAATCAAATACAGAAAAAGTATTATCATGAAACAGAACAGCAATACGCCCTCGGCTCTGGTCCCCTGGTACAAAAGGCGAGAATTTGATTCGCCGGATTCCTTCTCTGTGAGTGTTGAATGAGGAAGAATGTCCAGTCATCACATCCCACCATCTTATGTTCCCTATTCTGTCTCCCATGACCTGAAAAACTAATTTGGTCAAAATCATCATTCCATTTAGAGCAAATTTGGATTAGACAGAAAAATACATAGATACAGAAAGAGCCAATTCGGAAGTAATGATGCATACCACATGAGGCAAGCGGTAGGCCATTGCAGTGATCAATCCATCCGATGACACAAATGAAGAAGAAGGCCATTTCGGTCTGTGAACAATGCTAACTTAATCAGAGAAAGCAAGCATAAACGAAGAACTGCATGAATAATGTTTAGCATATTTATCACTCCAAGATAAGAGCACATAGTGCAGCCAGCTCTTAAAATGCTATAGCATGATAGCAGGAAATGGGGTGGCCACTATTTTAACTATTATAATACAACCTAAATTTATACAGCACATACAAATAATCAAAAAGAAAAACCTTAAATCAAAGAAATTCATGGTAAATAATAAGTCATGGTGTACACTTGCAATCACCATCAATCTAAGAGCAATAAAAAAAAATAGTAATGAAGTAAAAAAATTGTAAGATGGTAAAATTAATAGAAAAAGAATATAACAAGTTTGATAAATATTAGCAAAATGTGAATTGGGTCTTCTAAATGAAGAATAAAGAACTGAACACAGTAAAAATTAGGTCTGTAAAGTGTGAAGGAAAAGAGGTCAAAATAGAGGTAACTTTTTTTTGTCAATAGTCAAGTCAAGGAAGAAGGGTTTCAAATCCTATTGTGATTTTAAAGCAATAAAAGCACTGGAAAATGGGAGAGAAATCACGATTTTCCCCCCAAAAAACCTAATCAACTTTGTTTGATGGGTAAAAATGGGCTCTTGAAACCCATGTCATGGTAGCACCACTATAGCCCGTAAAACTACTATTGTAGCCACAATGGCTGCTAATGAATCACTCCTCATCTGAATCTCGTAGCAGCCTAGAGCCCCTCCATATCACTACCCCGCTATAGCAGGCTATCCAGTTATCAACTACTATTGTTTAGTATAGAAAAAGCACAAGTAATATATTAGATCAGAGATCAACCACTAATTAATGCAAAAAAGATGACAATACAAAGCAAGTTATACATGCTTTGACAATGATTAAATAATGATCAATACAGATTCAGTAGTCCATATATTTTGAAAAACAACACAATTGCTGTAATAAACCTCTCTCCATAGAAAAAAAGTTAACACCTGAAATCTCGAATTCTACGACCATGTACTTCAAAAACTCCAAGTGCCCCATTCACCAAAGCAAATGCAAAACTTTCAGATGTGTCATCATGAGATCCCTCTGGGCTTGAAGCCTCCGCTAAAGGAAATCAACATCACTCATAACATGTTATAATCTTACACAAAAAGGGAAGGGACAATTAATTCTAGATTAGCAGCTATGCTGATAATATCTAGGCTTCAAGCAGAAAACTAACTTGAATCTGAAGAGGTGGTTTTTGATAGTCTGGATGCTTCACCTGATGCCCCAGATGTTTGATCTTTAGAAGGTCGTGGAACTGTTGGGAGAGTCCATTCCAATACCGTAAATGGAAGAGCTAATGATCTAAGCTACATAGAGAGAGCAAGCATTATAAATATCCAGATAAAGAACGTCTAGTGTCTACCAAAATAAATAACAACTATACTACAAATCTCATAATTAACCTTCCTAATTTAAAAGGCAATGCTCTGATAAGGAATGCTATAGATATCCAGATAAAGAACATATAGTGTAAACCAAAATAAATACTAAACTACAGATCTTAGAATTAACCTTACTAATTTTGAAAGGGAATGCTTCAAAAAACAGGGCTTTGAAATTAAAAAAGAAAAGTGAAGTCCAGACATCAATCATGAATACAGGAAATTAGCTTGTGAAAACCAAGACCTACTTGCAATCATATAAGAAATTTTTGGAGCAAAACCTAGATTTCCAACAAGGCATCACCACTCAACTACAACATAAATTTATAGGACAACATTTATCCTAGACCAATTTTAACAATACACATAATGTGATCTCAGATAAAAATACCTTGAAATCGTTTACTTTATAAATTAGTTGTGGAAGCATTTTGCTCCTACAAATTAGTTTATTCTTCATCTGATTCTACATTTTTTACTGTTCACTAGAACTTCCACTTTAATAGAAATTTGATTAATATTAAATTCTCTATAGTATACTCTCTTTTGGACTTGCTGGAATCAATCCATCTCACTTCTAATCCATACCAGAGGATTTGGTTGTTCTCTTGAAACATTGAGTTTATTTTCTTTGAAATCATACTTCCAGTTTCTTACTTCATTCCCAATAACAATTATTTCCTTTTAAATAAGCCAATTTGGAAATCAATTACTCCGTTAAAAGCCTACTTTTGCATGAACTGTTGTTGAAAAGTGGACTAACATCAATATTTTACGTCAAATTCAAAGTCCTCAAAATGATTTGTCTCCTGATTGTGTTATATGTAGATCAAGTTCTGAAGACGGATCTCATTTGTTCTTGCATTGCCCAGTAGTTACTCCTTTGGAATTTTGTTTGGTTGTTTGGTTGCAACTGGGCTTGCCACAAGGATCGTCAGAAGTTCCTTTGAGTTAATTTTAGAGGATTCAGCACTAGTAGAGATGCTAAAGGGCATCCGCACTATTCTCAATTTGCAGGGTTTTGGTGTAAGAGCATATCCAGTTGAAAAGGAATGCTAGAATTTTTATTGGCCAATTGTTGCCTCTTGATTTGAGTTCAAAATCTTAGGTTCTTCGTGGTTGCTAATGGTCTTTCTTGGTATTAGTCTCTGATGATTTCCTATCATCTTGCTTTTGTATCTCACCCTTCCTTCTTAATAAATTCTTTGTTTATATATTAAAAAGAAACATTTGCCGTCATATAAAAGGTGCCATGGTACAGTCAAGGGGAAGGAAATAGGTAATTAAGAGAAATAAAATTAAAAATTAAAAAATTTTGGTGGCAGGGGTTTCAAGTACATAGACCAACTTACCATGATGGGATTTTTAGTCATTGCCCAAACTTCCACAGGTGCATCACGAAACAAAATTAGAAGATACCTGAAATATTGCAGCAGATATCAAGCTACTGAAAACCATCATGTAATCACAAATCCATCTGTTCATGTAGGATGGAAGTAAAGCAAACAGATCCAGTAGACCAGGGTGGAGAGAATAAACATTTAGGACAAGAGTTTAATCAAAATTGAATGGATAATTCTGCCATAGATCCCCACCCCTCCCCTCCAAAAATGGGGGGACGGGGGACTTGTTTCCTTAGCTATCAAATACATGTTTTATAATATTTGGAGGATAGCATATCTTCACAAATCAGTTTCTAGCAATCAGAGTGGTGGATGTGAAAAACAAAAAGGACATGAATAGAGCAATTTTTTTGTTTATAATTTTTTAAACACTAAAACTGGTCACCAACACCAACAAATATATCAGCATTTGGCCAACAAAAGATAGGTTGAGTCCCCCAACAGCCCCATCATCAGCAAGGGTTACAACATTCTACAAGACACCCTTTTGCATAACCATCCAGGGACATGTAACATTTACTAAGATCTCAAAGGTAGGATACACAAAGTACATAGCTGAACTAAAGTAAGATTACATATATATAAACTCTAGCATTCTCATTAAGTCAATAAAATACATCTTGCTCGTACAATGGTTGATATGACTAAGATATTAGGGCTTAGGAGTTTTGTATTAACACATCAGTATAGAAAGAGAAATAGAAATATGTTCAAACAAACGATTCAGAAACTAAATGAAAATGTTCACCTCCCAGACGAAGATGTTCTCAAAGCTCTTATTGGTGCACGTTCTGGCTTTTGCATGACTCGGAACATCTTGTTAAGGCCACTTCGAAGGCAGGTAACAACTAGTTTGTTAATATATCCTCCAGATTTTTCATTAGCCTGTCCAAAAGTATACATCACAATTGAACAATGACAAAAAAATGCTTCAAAAAAGTATGAAATTACAACGAACTAGGCATAAAGTAATAAGCTTGAATCATTAAGCTTATCTTGCAGAGAGATAAGATGCAAATAATTACAAAAAAAGAAGAAAATTGGAACAGAAAGAAATAAAAGGCAGGGAATTAACATTAACATAAAGAAAAACCTGTTTAGGCACAGGTACAGAATTATATACCTGGGTATAAGAAAATGAAACCAGTCTGGAATTTCCTAGCCATCGTAGTCCCCTAACAATACCATTATGTACTGATAAACTTGAAGCAACAGCATTGGCTGAAACATCAACAACATCTATTGTCCCATTCTGTGTTCCCAAAGCAACCAGTGGAACAGCTGCTGCTGGATAATTTCCTCCACCTTCACATAACATTATTTCATTAATCAACACAGGAAACACGGTATCCATAACAACCTCTTTAATTGGGTAACACTATATTTGAACAAATACACAAGATGGTGGGAAGATAAACTAACGTGCCAGGGTGGCTGTTAGAGAAGGAGTTGGTACTGCCAGCATAGTCACTGTGGAAGAAAGAAGCTGAAGCTGTCCAACTAAGCTAATCTGCATTAGAAAATTAGAAGAAAAAAAAATGAAGCTGTTTGCAGATATTTTAATCAACTTCAAAAAATTTGAAACCAACACAGGAAATCCAAATAGAAGCTATCTAGCATTTAGATGCAATTTTCCACAAAAGAAAAGTCAGGATTCAGATTTATCACATACTCCCTCCCAACTCAACTATAATAGGGCTTGGATGAGGAATTTAAATGGAGTCATTCACTTTTTTTTGAAGAATTTCAAATGCCTTAGGATAAAATGCTTTGTTTAGATGGAGAGTTTACAAAGAATTTAAAATCCAAATATTTGTGAAATTCCTTAAAATAGTAGAATTTCAAATTCTCCCAAAAAAGTAAGAATTAAAATTCTTCATATTTTTTCTTTCTTATCTCACTTATGTATCTTTTATCTTTCTCCTATCTCTTAATTATTAAATATTCAAAAATATTTTTAAAATTATTAAATATTATGTAATATTAATTTTTAAAACTATTAAAAAAATTTAAAATGAATATTTATTCTTATAAAATTTAATCTTAAAATTGCAATATATATATATAATAAATTTTACCCATTATGACAATCAAATTATCATATCCAAAATAAGAATTTAAAATATAAGAAATTTGAATTGACTTATCCAAACAAAACATTTAAAGAATGATGGAAATTGAAATCAAAGTAATTCAAATTTTAAGAATTTCAAATTTCTTGAACTTCTAAAATTTCTCATCCAAACACATCGTAAGAAAATTTAACTAACTTATACGCTAATTAAGAAAATTAGTTAACATCATTTAATTTGGTTAATTTCAAATAAAAATTATCTTTTTCCTATACTACCCTTCATTAGAACTTGATAACAAGTATAACAAAGTGTCATCAGAAATAGATTCTTAATTAAATGAAGGGTATTTTGGAGATGGTATCACTAAATAGAGTAAAAGTAATTAAGATTTGCTTATACCACAATTCATGAGATTTTTTTGCCTATATCTAAGTCCGAAGGGAGTATATCATGATTCATAAGTCAAATAATAAGAACACAAACCCCAAGTTTGGAACATATGATCCTACTATCAGCATCGTGCAATAAAGAATCAAATTAAATGTCCACTTCAGTGCAAGACAAATGAAGACGAGCTTAATTACAATTTGACAAATAATTCTTCATCTTTCTTTAGCTTCTTTATTTCCTTGGAAGGCAGAGTACAATGGGAAAAATGGCAATTCAAGACTTGTACTAAGAACTACAGGTAAATAAAAAGGACTAAAACAAACAGCAAAGCAGACTGCACTATAATCCTTGCATTTATGAGGGCACATAAGTTCTATATATGAATAATGAATACATGGCACAGGGATTAATAATATTAACACTGTCCCACTTAAAATGCACAAGTTGATTACTCTTCAATTAGGTGCTAAAGATACTACCGTTGCATTAGCTTTATTTACATATGTTGCAGATTTCTACGCAGATCTTCCAAAAAAAGGATTAGCTAATTTTAGTAAATACATCCAACTAACTCCAATCCTTTTACCGATTAACATCTTAGAAGATTTCACAAAACCCTTGGCACTTAGTTTTCGACTTTTCAGAAATATATTAGCTGATATATTAGTAATTATTGTTCTTGTTATGTTCCTTGGATTATTTACAAGGGGTATTCAAACTCTAATTTTTGCTACTCTAATTAAATATAGTTGCACAGTGACAATTAGCTGGGCTGCAACCCTTCACAAACTGGCCCACTAGCCCATCTTTTTACTAAAAAAAAAAAAAATACCTTCACAACCACATCAATAATATAAAAATTAGCGTCTATATAATATATTACTTTCTTTCCTACCATACTCCCACATTATCATACTCTTGCATTAACATATTGTGAATCAATATTTGATATTTAATAGAGCTCATTACAAATGTCTTCTACCCTTAAGATTTTATATTTATTATTTTTTACATCTAAAGCAATATAAAATATTCAGTCCAAATAAATAAGGGAATAAACAATAATAAAATAAAATAATTAAAAAAATAGGCTAGCAAACTAGACTGGGATAAATTTAAGATCAAGCTTAAATTCTAAAAGTGAACCCACAGCATATATCAGGCTATAGGGCAGTCATCAACCCAATGTGACACCTAATTGGACTATAATTATAACATAGTGTAACTGTGTAAGTCACCTTAAAAATACCTAAAAAAAATAATCACACACAAAAATCTCAAAAAGAAAATTGAGATAAATTCAAGAATCAGTGTATAATTATCACTCAACCACATTTGTGTTGAATTAAGAAAACTCAATCTTGAGCTTTTAGGTTGATCCTGAAATCTTTCAGGCCATATATACTAGGAATATTTGAAGAACTATAATTTCGTTCTTGATTTCTTCCCCAAATTTCAAACAACTAAGATTCATCCACATGATCCTTGACTGATTTGTTTGATCAAATGTTAAATGGAATTTAAGTAGAACAGCTCAAACCTAAGGAGATCGTGCAATGCACTATCATATTTGATGTTCAACATATCATGGATCATAAAAGTTACTTCTTGTGCTACTCCAAAAGTAAAGCTGATTCAACTCAAATTAAAAATTGCTTCTTTTACCATGAAGTTAGCTAGACTGCCTCCTAGAATATCATCAGGGAAGCTACCCTAGATGGCAGAGATATCTAATCTAACATATTATCCCCATTGACTTCATTATTTACTTTCCTTAGAGAAAATATACCATCTCTATCCTCCAGTCCCCCCATACCATTTTAGTAGCAGGTCCAAGGTCATCAAAGGGGTTTTCATCTTCTCCATCTTTAGTTTCAACTTTCATACCACCTTTCAAAATGCCCAAAGGATTTTGTCTGGAATCTACTTATGCACTCCCACACATATCAATTGCTTCAAAACAAGTATTACATACAATATATTTTCAATATACAGCATCACTAATCAAATTCAGCTCTATGTCACGTAATGTCATGTCAGGGACTAGGTATAGTTATTGCAGATGACCTAATATACAAACTCCAAAAGTTACCAGGACAAACAAGAAAAATTAGTAAGAGAAAAGGAAAGGAGTAAGTAGAAAGCAGAATCAGTAATCCTCCTAAGCAAAGACTTCTCATCAGCGTAAGCAGGGTGTCCAACCCCTCTCTCCAATCAGACTTGAAGAAGTCATCGTCTGAGCAACAAAGGGAAGCCGTAAAAAGTTTTTGTCCCATGAAAGTGGTAAAGCTAATTAAGTATCCTGAAAATACATGCATTTTGCCTTACCTAAAGTCTAAACACAATTGTCCTGCCATAATTGTGTTAGAAATGGCTTATATTTAGTTAAATAGGCAAGCATCTGACAATCACGACCCAACACAGAATTATTCAGTAAGTTCTACATAATCTTTCAAAGTTCTGTTGGGTTTATCAATTCATAATAGTATAAAATAACCTAATAAACTACCTACAAATTATCATTATAAAATATCAAGAATCAATACAAAATTTTGGCCAAGTATTAATGTTTTGATACTTCAGAGTATTATATCACCCAAAAGAAAAATGGAGAAGGAAAGAGAGAGTCAACATGGGCAACTTCAAATTTTGATTTTAATTATTTGTTCAACCTTACCCAATTGGTGGAATATATGAAGCAGGAGAAAGAAAAAATCAGCCAAACTAAGTAAAATTTTATACGGCACTCTGTCTATGCTTGCAAGGGCTCAAAATAATACAAAACATGTTGGGAAACCATTGCATTGCTTAAGTTTGAATATTTAGAGGCCATGAAAGTTAAAGTTTGTATTCTATGTATCTGTGTTCTGAGTTTTTCATTTGATGTTCTGAACCACCAATGTCGGACTGTGGGTTACAAAGCAAAGCAAGTTCGTAAGTACAGACTTACCTTCATTGAAATTTCTTCCTGGTCAAAGATTGAGCTTTGCAGGTGGCTTCTATTATCATTTAAACGCTCCTGTCGCCTGCCTACATTTAGATCCCGTCCACCAGAAGAAGACACTAAGGTGTTAGAGTTGGCCCCAGGAAGTGATACTGAATGGTCATCACTGACCAAATCTAACTTCTTATCATCCTTTTGGGTGTCTGCATGTCCTTCAGCAGTCAAGAGCCAGCTCCAAATTTTTCCATCATCAGAAATGGAGATCAAATGTATCTTAGAAATGATATTAGACTCATAACAAAAATCAAAAGGATTATCAAAATCCTCGCGAAGGTAAGGAGAACTAGGTACATCAGAATAATTCTTGTCAATGTTCTGAAGTGTGGAATCTGATTGGCATAAAAGGACAGAGAGTATTGAAGGAGAAGGAACAGAGGTACCAACTGATGGCATTAACTCTTCCAATGAGTACATAATGTGTACCTGTTCCCCACTGTGATCACAAGCAGATAAGTAAAACTCTTAGTTTCCCAAAAAAAAAAAAAAAAAAAAAAAAACACATGCTAGTAGATCAATAGGAGTCACAAGACCATCAACGTCCAGAAATGAACAGGAGGAAAAGGAGTGAGAACCAGAAGTAGATGCATAGATATTTTAGCATTGAATACTTATGCACACCCGTGGCCCAAAAGTGAGCTTCAAAGGTAAAATTAGATCAAGAGCCTATTTGTTTGTGTGTATGTTTTTTTAAGAAAAGTACTTCTAAAATTAAAATATATTAAATTATGAAACTTGAAACAAATACTGCTTTAGACTTCGGTACTTAGCTTAAAAACTAAAAATAATAGGTATCATAATTATTTCTTTTAAATCTTCATACAGTTGTCTCAAATGCATGGAATTAAAGCATTTTCCACGCTTACAGCAACGAAAATTGACAGCAAAAATTGCAAAATTAAACTCGATAATATATACGACAGCTTCTGGTATTTTATAACAAACGGATATGCATTATATACAGATTCTCAAAGCATCTTTGTGTTACTCTCTTGCAAACACTCACAATCACATACATAAACTATAAAGTATACTACACATAACACCGTATTTGCCAATGCATGCGTGCACTTACATATACTCTCATCTAAATCGAGACTAAAGGTATCCGAACATTTAAAAGAAATAAACAAAGACAATAAACGCTTACGGTTTCCTCTTCCACATGCTGAGCTTGCCATCGAGATGAGCACAGTAGACCCACTCGTTACTCGGATCAGGCAACACGTCGAGGAACTTGCCGCACCCGCGCGGCAACGCGGTGGAGAAAACCACCGTCTCGTACTGCAGGTCAAACACAACCAACTCCCGGGGGAACGTGACGAACAGAATGTGCCTCCACTGGTGGGAGAACGCGAGCCTAACGGGGTAGAGAGGAAAGGCCGCGGCCACAGGCGAGGGCGTCGCGGAGGATCCGGCGGCGGCGGCGTCTTTCTCGAGCTTAGCCAACTCAGTGGAATCGGTCCGAATGTGGTGCTCCTTGGCAATGACGGCGTCCTCGGTGTCGCCGAGGAGGAGGATGGAGAGGAAGAAGCCTCGGAGCGCGATGGCGCAGAGGCGGCGCGAATCGAAGGGATCGCGGCGGACGCAGGAGAAGTAGTCGGGAGAGGCGTCGTACTTCCAGAGGCAGCGTCCGGTGGAGGCGTTAAAGAGGGAGAGAGTGGAGGGACCGCTAATTGCGGCGAGGAGGTAGGAATCGGGCCGGGCCTGGGCCCAACAGAGGTCCTGGATGCCCTGTTTGGAGTCGGTGTCGAACCAGAGGAGCGCGGACTTGAGGCGGAAATCGAGGAGCGCAATGCGGCCTTGGCGATCGCCGGCGGCGAGGAGGAGGTGCGAGGAGGAGGGCTCGGAGGAGAGGAGGTGGCGGCTGAGGGGGAGGGGGGACCAGCGGAGGGCGGTGACGAAGGGCGCGGCGGAGGAGGGCGGCGGAGGGATGGGGAAGGAGGAGAGAAGCTGCATGGAGCGCGTGTCGACGATGGAGATGCAGCTGCCGGCGGGGAATGCCATGAGGCCGTAAGGGCTCAGATCTGCGGATCCGAAGTTGTTGCGGCTCGGTGGCCCTGGGAGCATCGATTCCCATGACTCCTGCGCTTGGGACGTTGCTGCTGCTGTTGCTGTTGCTCTCGGACTCGCTAGCATCCTCCGCACTTCGCTCCGATTTCGATCCACACCACTCTAGTAATGTCTTCTTCTTCTTCTTCCTTTCACCTTTGCTTTTGATTTCCGCTGCTTGCCGCAAATGAAAATTGAAAACGTTCACTCTTTCTTTTTCGACTTCTGAGTTCTAACATTAATTTATCTACCAAATATAAAACTCACCTTTAATTTCCCTGTTTTAATTATAAAATATAATATAAAGTCTGTTCAAAATGTTTTTTCTTTAAAATAACTGCTTCAGACTTCATTTTAAGAATTTTTTTTTAGGGTGAATTTAATTTAAATATATCGAAATTGTTAAAAAAAAAGATATATATGCGTCCAACTATGCCATATTTTTACTTTGATAATAAAAAAGTTCATTTAAACATATTTCATAATATCATCTAATTACACATATATACTTTAAAATGTATATTTAAAATAATTTTTATTCATCGATAGTATCGAAAAATTGTGTTAATAACGTATAAATTTTAAAATCTTATAATAATTACTTTAAATTATTTGTTTGATTAATTAAAATATAAAACAATTTATTCTAACATCATATTGAATTTAAATTTAAATTTTAAAATTTAAAATAATTTAATTTTTATATATTATGTGTAAAAATTATATATAAATTAATTAAAAACAATTTAAAATAATTATTCTTATTATATTACTAATTTTATCATATAATAAATTGTTTAGTATTATTGGATGAAAGCGGCATATTTTTTAATTAATCTTTCTTTAAAAATTCGTCAAAATCATTTCTAAATTCTACCCGACGACGTTATATTTGTTATGGTATCTAAATTACTAATTTTTATTAGGTTAAAATCTTTATTTGGTCCTTATAATATTTTTTGTTTTAATTTAGTTTTATTTTATTTTTTATTTTAATTTAGTCTTCAATAATTTAAATTATTATAATTTGGGATTTTCGTCTAAATGATTTAAACGGAGTTAACTGTTGGTCACGTGGATGCCACGTGAATGTCACGTAGATGCATAGGTGGATGCCAAATTCCATGAATACACCTGGAATCATAACGGCCCGTTCTAAAACCAGAACGGTCAGTTCTGCTTGCACATGTTATGTGTAAATTTTGCAACTAAAATGGGTCGTTCCAAATGCAAATTTAACACACCATGAGTGCAGTAGAACAGGTCGTTCTAAATTTAGAACGGCCCGTTCCAGAACGCCAACTTCATGCATACGTTGACCAAAATGCCGCAGTGTGATTCAAAAATTGAAAATAAAAATTCATAACATATCATAAATTCAAAGACAAAAACATGGTTCAGAAACTGAAAACAAAAATTCAGAACATAACATATACTAAAAAAGTTCAAAGAAATTACTGAGAAAGGAAATCATTTTGGTAACGCTAAAGGGAAACCCTAAACCACAAAAATTCAGGTTGTACCTCCTCAAGAACAGGTTGTTATTGTTGGGGTACATCCCGAAAAATACCATTTCGTTTCATCATTGATTGTATAGTGTCAGTTTGCTAGTAAGTGATTCACTCCAGTTTGACTAACAATTAAATAAAATCTGCTACCATTGTCCTTAGTGATATATTGCATCGTCCTTAATGATACATTGTATAGCCCAAATGTTTAGCAATTGAAGTTATCAATCCCCATTGACAATATTATCAAATCTAGTGTTTGAAATGTTTTGTACCTTGGGTCTTTTTCCTTGCACGATTCACAACCATGGACTATAATCATCGACCATTCTGGACCAGAACGACCCGTTCTGCTTACACTATTGGTGTGTTAATTTTGCATCTGGAACAACCGTTCTGGTTCTAAGTGTATTTAAGAAATTTGGCATCTACCTACGCATCTACATGGCATCCACGTGGCCAACAGTTAACTCCATTTAAATCATTTGAACGGAAGTTCTAAATTGTGATAATTTAAATTATTAAGAACCAAATTAAAATAAAAAATTAAAATAGGACTAAATTAAAACAAAAAAAAATATTATAAGAAACCAAATAAAGCTTTTAACCTTTTTATTACAATATCTTCCTTTGTTTTTGACAGAACAATATTTCATTGTAAAGTTTTTGAAAATGAAAAGGAGTGGCAATGTCGCGCGTGATGGTTAGTAACTACAAGTATATATTAAATGTTAACACAGTCTTTATGCTCCCTCTCCCCCTGCTTATGCATAGGTTTGTGCTTCTCTCACATATTCTAAGGGTCGTTTGTTTTTCGGAAATTTTTTATTTTTGAGAATGTTATTCTTTGAAATATAACATGGGAATGGTATTTTTGGTTATTTAAAAAAAATTGTTTGGTTAACAGTTAAAATTTATCTGGAATTTTTTTATATTTCGGAGAATAATAAAAGCATATGTTTGATTCATGTTATTTTCATAGGAATATATATGATAATTACTTAAATGTCCTTACTATAATATGTGTGTATATATTTTTTTTATAAACAAGAGATAATCCTAGTTGAAGAGTTTGGCCAGTAGTACTTGTTCCACTTTGTTCTCATTTGAAGCTCCCAACCAAATTAGACCCAATACTTGTTGCTTCTTATGGTAAGTGACAATCATTTAAAACTGTTTTATTTAAATTAAATATGCATTTTATTAAGCAAAAATAAAACCATAAGTAGCTATTACGTAAGATTAAAATAAAGGATAAAAGTTGGTGAGGGACATCCTTGACTCAATACATTTCATGATATTGGTAAGCTAATTTCACTAGCTTTTCTGCTGCAACATTGCTACCTTACTTGGTAAAAAATAAAAATAACAAATGTCATTTGAACTATACTCGCATCTAAATTAAGAGAAAAATATATTTTTCAATGCCATACAATTGCACCTATTTTTATATGAAATGTTGAAGAGTGATAGTCAAACAAATCAGATTCTCCTTTTGACTGTATTGAATATTCTTCTGTTCAATAATTCAAACTATGATGCAATAATGTAGCTCCTTTTTATGTTCATACACAAAACACGTTAGTTATACACAAGAAATTCTCAACAGAATAAATACAACACAACATCTAACCTCATATAGTGATAATAAGCTCCAAAAGTTCACTTTCTGCAAATTATTTAAAGACAAATCATATTAAATTAAACGACAATGAAGCATAATGGAGAAAACTCAAATATAGTGTCAAAGCAAAGCAAGATAACTAATTAATAATAATATTAAACACAATTCTTAAATAAGCTTACTAAGTGTATATCTAAATTAGACCTTCTAAATTTTAATAAACACCATTTTTATTTAAAACAAAGTTCACAAATTCCTTTTTACTTGTGGGGATATACATAGTGAAAAAACAATTTCAAAGGTTGTCATTGTCAGGAATCTATATGGCAGCCCTCACCATCTCTACTTCAAACAATCCTCTTATTCCTTTCAACGTGGAGGTAACTTGTTTTTTCTTCTCAGCTGTTTCTTTCTCGGACAAAAAATAAGATGTAAGTTATTAGATATTTTCAATTGTTCTTACATGAAACTCACATAATTCCTTTCACTCTACACTTTTCAAATACTTTCCAAATTGTTGTATATCATACTAAATTGTTTCTTTTATCAGAGTTCGAATTGAGTGCATAATAAAAATGATAAGAATTTTTTATATAAAAAAAGTTATTATTCAAAGAGAAAAATTAAAATGAACTGAATAAAATAAATCATAATCAGATATGTGCTCTTATTGAAACATTTTATCAAACACCTATGGATAACACATTCAAGAACTCAACACAAGCATCCATTAATATTTGAGATAAATAAACTCAATGTACATACAATCTTCAAAATGAAAAATAAAATAGAGAAAAACTTACTATTTCTAATAAACAAGGAAGACCATATAGCCAAATAAGATGTGTGTTGAGATAAAATAATAAGAGCGTGAGCTAAAAGCCAGAATGTGCAATCATAGCAAGTGAGAAAGCAAAATGTAGCTAGATGCAATATGCGTGAAAAAATTATGCAACAATTGGGTACAGAAGTTACGTGGCTATTAGAATGAGAAATTACGCGGATAATGCAAACACAAAAAGTGAAACAGTGAGTATTGACAATGAGGATATAATAGATTTTTCACTCAATAAATATCATTTTCACTACATGGGATTCCAACTTTTTCACCCTCCTTGCACGGGAATAAAAATGGTGTAAACATGAAAATATAACTTTCTCATAAACAAAATATACCCAGAAATGTGTTTTCGTTACTTTTTAACAAACAAAAGAATAAACATTCCCATTTTTATATTTCTGAGAATCATTAAAGATTCTAGGAAACAAATGCTATCTTGCTTCTTTCTCTTTTTCTTTACCATTTTCTTTTTTTTTTCTTTCTCATTTATTTTCCTTTATTTTTATTTTTATTTTTTCTCACTATTATTTTAGATATCTCTTATTTCTCTTCTTTGGGCTTCTAACTACCGAAACAATCATATTTTTCTTCTTTAATTTCCTCTTTGCTTCTTGGAGTTTTCTTCTCTCTTTCTCTCTTTCTTTTTTTCATTATTGTCTTTTTTCTCATTACCATCACTATTAGAAAAGTGTTATTTTCTTGCAAATTTTTCTGCAAAAAAATATTCGCAGAATTTTTTTTGCAAATTTTCTTGCAAAAAAATATTCGCAAATTTTTTTTGCAAATTTTCTTACAAAAAAATACTCGCATAAATTTTTTGCGAATTTATTTGCAAAAAATAATTTACAGATATTTCTTACAAATTTCGCTACAATTTTAATAATAGTAGAAAAAATTTTCCCATGGTAAAAATTTGCAGAAAAAATTGTAAGAATTTTATTTTGTTTCTTGTAGATTTTCTTGCAAAAATAAATTCACAAGTAATGTTTAAAATGGTAGAAAAATTTTGCAGGTAACTTTTCCTGCGGATTTTCCTGCAAATTTTAATCCACGAGAAAAATAAAAAATATATATTTAAATTTATAAGTTTAATATTTTAAAAAAAACTTCAAGTCCCACATTGATTGAAAGTAAAGCAATTAAAGAATATATAAGTTGAGACAATACTTACCTTACAAGTTACTTTATATATGGTTGAATGTTAGGCTTATAATCTACAATCTTAGAATTTAAAAGATTATGTATCACATGTTGGAGGCATGAAAA